CCTTCTCCTCCATTCTCCTCTCGGGATCTTGGGCACGCACGCACACGCGCCCGGCATGAGTTTTAAGCCACCGGGTCTGGGACGTGAACCGTGGTCGACTATGTGGGAGTCCAGTGACATAGCCATTACGCTAACTGCTGGTTCCCAAGAACATAATTTATTGTTCTTTTAGAAAGATTTTTGCTGTTGGGCACATATGCTTCCCAAAGAGAGACAGAGAGACAGAAAGTGAGAAATCACTCCTGGGGGAAGGGCCACACAGTCCCTCCTCATCCATTCTCTTCTCAGGATCTTGGGCATGCATGCACACGTGCTTGGTGTGAGTTTTAAGCTGCCGGATCTGGGACTCAAACCAAGTTCAACTATGTGGGAGTCCAGCAATGTAACCATTATGCCATCTGCCAGTCCCACCAACATAATTTTTAATAGTCACAAGAATATTTAAATGATCTGTTTCTTATTGGGCATATTGTAATATTTGTAGTTTTTGAGAACTTGGTGTATTTCATCTATATTTTCATATTTATATTTATATTGGGTCATGGGGAAAGACTTTCCTGATGACCTACTAGAATTGTTTGTATTGTTCCCTCATTCTTTTGGTGTCTACAGGATCTCTAGTGATACCTTGTTTTATTTCTTGTATTAGTAATTTATAGACTTTCCCTTTGTTTCATTAGTCTTGCTAGAGGTTTGTCAATTATATTAATCTTATCAAAAATAAGCTTGTTACTTTTATCTTTATGGCTCTTTTTCTAGGTTCTTGAGGTTGAATCTCAAAATATTAATTTGAAACTTTCATTTTTTAAAGTTTATTTCTTCTATCAGAAGGAGGAAGAGAGGAATAGGGAAAAAGAGAGAGAGTATGCATGAGAGAGTGAGAGTCACCCCCAGTAGGGCCTGGGTCTTCACATTCTAATGACCACCCCCTCAGCCTGAGCTGATCAGTATCACAGGTGCACATGCATGACCAGCAGGTACAGGGAGACTTCAGTTATGAACTTGGGATGTTCCCATAGGGCTGCAGGATCTTGGAGGGTTATAGTACCACTGTACCACCACAACTGACCAGCTTTTCTTTTTTTCTAGTGTAAGCATTCAGTTGCTATACATTCCCCTCTCAACACTGCTTTAGCTGCATCTCACAAACTTTTATATATGTTCTATATTCATTTAAATTCAATTCAATGTATTTTTAAATTTCCCTGAGACTTCCTTTCTGATCCATGGATTATTTACAAGTATATTGTTTAGTGTCCAAGATTATGGAGTTTTCTTGTTATAGCTATGTCATTTATGTATTAATTTATTTAATTTATTTTATTTTTGGAGAGGTTTTTGCTAAAGGGCATGTGCACTAACCAGAAAGACAGAGAGAGACAGAGAGACAGAAGGCAAGAAATCACACCCCAGGGGGATGGCCATGCCACAATCCCTTCTCCTCCATTCTCCTCTCAGAATCTTGGGCACACACGCACATGTGCCCAGTGTGAGTTTAAGCCACCGGGTCTGGGACTGGAAACGCGGTCAACTACGTGGGAGTCCAGCAACATAGCCATTACACTAACTGCTGGTCCCTAGTTATATTATTTAAATTAATCTTTTTTTTAAAAAATATTTTTAATTAATTTTACTTGTTATTATGATTTATTATTATATTTTAATTTAGCCAAAGAGACAGAGAGAGCAAGAGAAGGGGAAAGTGAGAAAGGAAGCCATTAGGTCTGGGACTTGAACCGTGTTTGGCCATTTGGGAGTCCAACACCTTAACCACCATGCCACCTGCTGGCCCTGTTATAGCTATGTTACTGATTTTTAGTTTGATTCTATTGTGGTCAGAGAACAGACTGTATATGATTTCAGTTCTTTTAAATGTGTTGAGACTTGTTTTATGATTCACCACATAGTCTCTTAGTATGTATTCCATGAGCACTTGAAAAAAACTGTATTCTGCTTTTGGTGGGTTAGAGTGATCCATAAATATTGATTATATTCTCATGATTGATGGTGTTGTTGAGTTCTTCTACATCCTTGCACATTTTCTGCCTAGTTATGTGAGAAATTATTCAGAGAGGGGTGCTGAAGTCTCTGACTACAATGACAAATTTGTAGTCGGTTTCTCTTCACTTGGCCTTTGCTGGGTGAGTGTAGTTAGGTTCATAGTTTTCTTTCTGTTTGTACATTTTCATTATGATAAGCTGCCCCTATCCTAGTCCTGTTAGAGATAGTGGGATTTTATTTTACTTTATTTTATTTTATCTGCACCTGGCAATATTTCTGGGATGTTGACCTCTCTATATGTGAGATCCATGACAGTAAAAGAAAACTTGGGGAACATAATAACACCATGTCATTTTTGGGAACGCTGAGATCCTTAAACAGTGGGGCTTATTCTCTTTACTTTCAGAATTTTGTTATGCTTATATCATGTGGAGACTTAATAAAAAATCTGGAAAATGGAATTAAAGTATGAGATGATTTTGACATGAAAATTTTTGAAATCCATGTTTTTAATATTTTGTATTTTCCACAAACATATTGAATACCCCTTGTATGTAATACAAGTTTTTAGTTAAACTATGTGAGAAGAGTAGGGAAAAGTTACATCTATTACTTCTTGTCCAGACACAAGGAATGTTGTGCTTTTGGTCCCATATAACTATTGATATTTAAATATAGAATAGATCAGGGACCAACAGTTGGCTTAATGGCTATGTTGCTGGACTCCTATGTAGTCGACTGCGGTTAGAGTTCCAGATCTGGTGGCTTAAACTCATGCCAGGCATGTGTGCATGTGTGCCCAAGATCCCGAGAGAATGGAGGAGAAGGGATTGCAGTGTGGCCTTCCCCGCTAGGGGGTGATTTCTTGCTTGCCCATGATTTAGGGCTAGCTGCAAGGTGCATGTAGATTGTGGTTTCAGGACCCTTTTGGGGGTGCTCTCTCTCTTTCTCTCTTCCCCCTTCTCTCTTTCTCATTTTCCCTTACTCATGGAAGAAAGAAAGGAAGAAAGAAAGAAACGAAGGAAGGAAGGAAGGAAGGAACTTAAATAAAGCCGGCATAGTGTAATTTGTTTCATAGTGTTGTTTTCAGGGAAAAAAAGAGTTTTGAAGAACTATAATAAATTGTAAAGCATATTGTATAGTTAGGGAAACTACATTTACTAATTTTTCTTCAGTAGGCTCATTTATGTCCGTTATCCTGGCTTAATTTTTAAGAACAGTTCTCTCATTTTCAAAGTATCCTGTTTTGAATATTAAATTTTGCCATCCAAAATATAGTTGTTATTCTCTTTATACCTGCCATTCTGAGTCATATAATGAGGCAATTGTTTTTGGAGAAGCAGCATTCAACTGGATACTTTTATTCAGAAAATATTTGTTTATTTAATTATTTTCAAAAACATTGGTAGCTTCAAGAAGTCTATCTTTTTAAAACTTTGACATTAAGGATAGGATGAAAGGAAATACTTTATATTTAAATGTTCATGAAAAATTTGAATTGCTTCATTCCCCACAGTAACTTCTTGGATTTTTTTTTTTTTTCAGCAAAAGAACCCAAGAAAAATGTTGGCTTATTTCTAGGATCATTAAATGGCAATGAAGCAGTCAAACTCATGAAGCTGTCCAATAATGTGGAAGTGATTACATGGTGGTGAGAAAAATGAATGTCTTCTAATTATTGCAACATCTTAACTTGTTTAATTAAAAGAATATTTTTTTTCTAACATCTCTTTTATATATACTTCCCTCTTGGGAAAGAGAGAATATTGGAGGTATTTTCTTCATCTTTCTGAATGTGATTTTTTTAAAGAACTGGAAATTTGCATTTTATTACAAAGCTTGTTGCTGCTGCAGGTTTGCCAGTTGAGGATGTGACCTATATTACAAAGTTAACCAACTTGTTCAGCTAATTATACTTTTGCTAAATTTGAACAAAACTGTGAAGAAAAGCTACTTAAATGCCTTTTACATTTTTCTAACAATTGCTTTCTTGGTATGATAAGGGGAAAGTGGCCATTATTCTTCAAATTGCTTTTATAGTTGCAGTAGCATTAAAACACTATATCCTGTGGCATTCAAGGAACCTAATATTTGAACAATAACTGATTTATAAAAAAAGTTATGAGCTGAAACATTGGTCTGCATTTTCTCCATTTCAGAAATATATTAAGAACACAAGGAAATCGGAGAACATGTGTACAAAAAAGCAAACTCTGAAAAATAGAAAGTGGGTTGGTGGTTACCAGAAGCTGAGCCTGGGGCAAAGGAAAAGGTGGAGTTTTTAAATGTGTATAGAATTTCTTTTCTACAAGATGAAAAAGTTCCAAGATCTATTTCACAACAATGTGAATGTATTTAACATTACTGAACTGTGTACTTGAAAATAGTCAAAGTAGTAAATTGTAGTTGTATAGTTTTTGCCAAAATAATTTTTTAAAAAACTTGTTCAGTGTAGTCTGTTTTCTGTAAATATTTTCTGGATGAGGACTTAACCTGAGGAAACTTAACCAATGAAACTTAAGAGATAGTGACTATAATCCTTTTAGTGTGAAGGTCATTTACTGTAGAGGTAATGACAGAGTAGGACAGAGATCAGCCATTTGTACAAGTGTATTCAGTTGTGATGAAATAGAAACTTTGAGTTAGGTTGGGTGAGCTCAGTGTTATCATATTAATATTGTTACAGATTTGGCATTTTAGGAAAGCTGAGATGGTAACTGTATTATATATCCTTAGTTGAGTGTTGCAGAAAACCAGACACCAAAGAATGGAAAGCAGCATTAGGAGAGATCAGGAGAACTGTTTATTATGTCGGTGGGCATGGAGGAGTTAATCTCCAGCCCCTACTGGGGATCAGACACAATCTTTTATGGGGGAATTGGGGAAGGGGAGGTCTCAGGCTCAGAACCTGCCCTATGGGGACCAGCAGTTAGTGTAATGGCTATGTCGCTGAACTCCCATGTAGTTATCCATGGTTCAAGTCCCGGATCCGGTGGCTTAAACTCATACCAGGTGCATGTGTGTACATGCCCAAGATCCTGAGAGGAGAATGGAGGAGAAGGAATTGTGGCATGGCCATCCCCCCTGGGGGGTGATTTCTCGCTTTCTGTCTCTCAGTCTCTCTCTGTCTTTCTGGTGAGCGCACATGCCCTATAGCAAAAACCTCTTCCAAAAAAAAGAACCAGCCCTGTACAAAGGGAGGAGGCACAGAAGCAGTAAGACTAATATATTCAAGGTACTGATCTATTCAAAGTACTAATCTATTCAAGATTTTCAGGTTACCCTGTAGCTCCAGGGAGGGGCAGTAAGTTTGCCAGAGGACAGAAACCTTAGACAGCTATCAGCCCTGAGTTATTCATGAATTCAGGGTTTCTTCATATTATTCCCACCTCTTGAGTCTCCTCAACTATACTCAAGGAGGGTCAGTTAACAGGAGGGTGGTAAACATAGGTTTCAGGGGCAGCAACAAGCAGTTCATACTTGATGCCTTAAGGTGGGAGGTTACAAATCACTTAATCAGATTAAGGACACATGGTCTGATTGCCAGTGTTAAAAGGATAACTTCTAGCGGACCCAGGAGAGGCAGTAGCTATGGGGCCCATGTCTAGAGTCCATACTGTCTGAGACGTGCATAGCAGACCCATTTCCCTGCAGGGGGATAGTTGTAACAGTCTGTTTTTTTCTGCTCTTACCCACAAAATAGGGGGACCAGCAGTTAGCGTAATGGCTATGTTGCTGGACTTCCACGTAGTCGACCGCAGTTCACGTCCTGGACCCGGTGGCTTAAAACTCATGCTGGGCGCGTGTGTGTGCGTGCCCAAGATCCTGAGAGGAGAATGGAGGAGAAGGGATTGCAGCATGGCCATCCTCCCTGGGGGGTGATTTCTCGCTTTCTGTCTCTCTGTCTCTCTCTGTCTGTCTGTCGAGCGCACGTACCCTATAGCAAAAAAACCTCTCAAAAAAAAAAAAAAAAAGTGCTCCATTGTCCTAGCACTCCTGGAGGGTGACTGAGTTGAGGCAGGACTTGTAACCTCACCCCCAGTGCTCTAATGCCAGCTGGCTCGGGGACCCTGGAATGACTATGGGATCATAAATCCCAGGCAGGTGGTCTAACATTGATAGGTAGGCATCCAGTTGCAGTCAAATAGTGGTTTGCTGGATGGTTCGGTTGCGCCATTTGAGGCAAGGGATGTAGCTACCTGTAAGCCTCGACAAAAGAGCAAGGCCCAGGTTCAGGAGTATCATTAAGGCAAAATTGGTGTAAGGAACAGAGCCCCAATGAAAATGCCGCTGGTTAGTTAACCCAGGCGTCTTAGGCCTATCAAGGTTTCTATTACCAGGAAGTATAGTATTGCTAGCAAAAGCCTCTCTCATAATTTCCAGTCCCTTGGGACCACTGCTGCCAGACCAATGGGGAGAAGCAAAGCCAGTACTATGGGAAGGTATAGGAGCAGGAAATTGTAAGGGTATGGTGTAAAAGTCACTGTTCTTGAGATTCTGCCGAACGTAGATTGGTCAGTGTCCGGAGTGACCAAAGCAGGGCTGTAGACTCCTCAAACTTCTGCAGTGCATAGAGCAGCCAGCCCAAGAGTGGCTGCAAGCTTCCGCTGTGCATAGAGCAGCCAGCTCTGGAGTGGCTGCAGCAGGGCTGTAGTCTTGATGACAGGATTTGGTCCTCTGGAAGGTTATTTTAGTTGACTGCTCAGGGTGGTTTTTCACCATCCAAACCCCAGGGTCCTCTGGTACTGCAACTTGCTTTACTTGCAAGTGCTGGATTTATAGGGCTAGCCCTGCAACCTTTACTGCAGTAGGGGTAACAAGCACAATAGCACATGGCCCCAACCAGATGGGTTGTAGTGATTCTTTTTTTCAATTTTTAACTCACATGAGATCTCAGGGCTCATGTTTGTACCCAGTTTCTGAGGGGAACAGCAGTTCTTTCTAAGGTGACATGGGCTATTTTCTTTAAAGTCTTTCTTAAGGCCACCAGATCATGAGTCAGGACTGCCTCACCCAGCTGATGAATGTCAAGCCATTTGGGCCTGGGTAACTAAAGGGGATAGTTGGTAAAACAGAATCTCATTAGGGGAGTGACTTTGGTTTGGGGGTATACATTGAAGTCACTTTCTAAGTAGTGGGAGGACATCCACCCAGGGATGCCCAGTGTCCTGACAGAGCTTAGCCAGGGTGGGCTTGAGGGTACAATTCATTTGTTCAACTCTTCGAGAACACTGAGGTTGATAAGCAGTGTGAAGCTTCCATATTATGTCCAAGGCCTTTGCCACTCCACGTCTAACTTCTGCCATGAAAGCAGGGCCATTGTCTGACACGGTCATAAGGGGAAGCCCAAATTGAGGTATAACTTCCTTCAAAAGGGCTTGAATAACTTCTCTGGCCTTTTTGGTTCATGTAGGGAAGGCTTCCACCCAGCCTGTTTAAGTGCAGACCAGGACTAGTAAGTACTTATAGCTCCAGCATAGTTGTACTTCCGAGAAGTCTGCCTCCAGCAATTACAGGGGAGTTGTCCTGGTGGCTTGTACTCTAGTCAGCCGAGTTGGCCCCTGGGTGGGGCCAGGCACAGGTCTGGCACAGGTCTCGCACCACATGCTCACAGTTGCACATGATGACAGTAGGTGACTCAAAACATAGTATCGGCCTAGCATGTTCTCTAGGTTAGTCTTTTCCCAGTGAGTCATCTCGTGGTGCTGCTTTACTACCAAATACCCCAAAGACTGAGGCATGTATATTATTTCATCTGGCAATCTCCACAGTCTGTCTTCTCCCAGGGTTGCTCCCTTTGACTTTGCCCAGCCATGTTTGTTGGAGGTATAAGAGGGGGCTTTTGGGAGGCTTGTGAGTGATAACATGTGGGCTACAGCACTTGGGGTTCTGTAGGCAGCAGTCTTGGCTGTCTGGTCTGCAACCTGGTGTCCCAGGGTGATGGAGTCTTCCCCACTCTGGTGTCCTCTGCAATGGATGATTGCCACTTATTTTGGCTCAGAGACTGCCTCTAATAATTGGCATATTTCCTCTTTGTTTTTAACTGTCTTCCCTTCTGCTGAGAGGAGTCCTCTCTCAGTACAAAGCTCCATGAACATGCAGGGTAGCAAAGGCATATCATGAGTCTGTGTAGATGTTTACTCTCTTACCGGCTGCTAATCTTAGGGCCCAAATTAGTGCCCAGAGTTCAGCCCGCTGAGTAGACAGACTATCCTTGGGGCAGTGCCCCAGCCTTGATTCAAAACGTAGGATCTGAATTTTATAGAGTTCTGTGGCTCCCAGGAATTAATGTAGTTGCTTCTGGGAGGTGGGCTGAGGCAGAATCTAGGCATGGGATTCGAGACAGCTGGTGGCCTCCCTCCTGAACTGGTAGAACTGATGCTGGCTCCTTGGGCTGCTCTTTAGGCCCTGGGGAAACAGATGGGGGCAGCATTTTGATTACTGGTTCGACTGGGACATATGGGGGTAAAGCTGCTAATGACCCCTCTTTTGGGAGGCCCTACAGGTTTGGGGCCACGGGTTTCATTTGGTCAGTTTGACACTGGGGGCATGACAGGAGCGGCCAAAATAGTGCATTGGTTTTTCCCTCTTATGCAGATGTGTGCCCAGGACATAATGATTTGGGCTATTTGTAGCCAGGAGTCAGCATAG